GTATCTCGACGTCGCACAGCAAATGGAACGAATCCCTGGAAGAATATTCGAGCAATGCATTCGATATATTAATATTTACCTATCGATGTTATTCGATTCAAAGGCGATCCAAAAAAGAATGGTTACGGTTCGGACCGAATTCTCCGTTTATTATAAAGCAAAGTCTGCTCGCTGTCAAGGATGAAGCCAAAGCTGAGTTGTCTCGAGGAACAGGGCCAGCCAAGAAACGAGATTTATGTGTACTTAAGCGGAACAGCGACGCTCGTAAATAAGGATACAAAGAGGAAATGAAGTTCGGCCGAGGTGTCGGCGGATCATCGAGTGATTTATCGAGCAATCGACGAGAGAGTCGCCGCGTTAATCCCCCGAATGCTTTCGTATCCCCGTTCTTTCTCGTGGAAATTGGACATTTCCCAATATAGAATGGAAATCTCTGAATATGTCCGCACTCCTTCATCTTCCACCTTCGCTCTTAAAAACCAATATGGATCTTCCTTCTCTTGAGATTAAGATTAAGACGGAATATTTTTTAATATCCACGTTACGATGATCCGGCGCTTTAGTCTTCGAGCCTTCAATTTAAGTTTAATTAAAAGATGGATAAATTTCCTCGATAATATTACAACGTCTGATATTACTTCAACGTTGATAACACCGTGTGATTTGCAAGTATCGATCAATACACGTCCGACAGCACGTGTGCCGTGGTATTTTATAGACGTTGCCTTAAGCAAGCTTAGTGGAAAATAGAGGGCCGTGTTATATTGTTTCACGTTTCCCCGTCTGAACCATAAGATCCCCTTCGATACAAGGGAATATTTATCAAAGCATGGCCGTGCCCCAACGCCACTTGCAGCCGCATGAAATCCTAATGCGCGCTCCCTATCAATATTCCCTGTTATCGACGTTTAGAAAGATCTTGCGAGCGTTAACGTTTGCGAGCGCATTCTGCATCACGAGCCATACTTTTCCAAATACATCTTTACACACAGATGATGGATAAATATCTTCTATATTCTTCTCCAAATACTTTTCATACGCTTATATTTTCCTCACCTATTTATTTTATTATTAGAAAAATCATACAAGTGGAGAAACGTAAGATTATCATTCAACTCTTGGCTAGATTAAATTATTTCTCAAGTGTTCGAGTGATTAATCGGATTAATCGTTACGACTGTTATCGTTTATCGCCTTGCCGATCGATGTTCACGTTTGCGAAGAAAGATCATCAAAGATAAAAAGGAAAGCGTATGATGTATCGATCGTTCCATCCTTTCTTCCTCATCTTCGTAAAGATGGATAACTATTATATCATATAGAATATACTTCATTTACGACCGATTGGAAATACAGTGAGGCGATATTTCATGGAAAAGGAAGAGCTTGATCGAAATAAACGTGTTCCTCCCGGTTTATTCCCTTCATTTAACGTTAAGTGTCGTCGAGGAATTTACCGATCCATCCTTGCTCTATACGATGATCTCGATGCGAAAACGACAATGATATTTCCTATAATATCCATCTTATTTTTTACAATTTTTAACTTCTTCTTCTTCTTCTTCTTTGACAAGCATTCACCGTGGATAAAATTCTCTCTCGTTTTTTCGGTTTAAAGATTCGCATCGAAAGGATGCGAAAACATTAGCTCTTGCGGTGCAAAAATTTGGAGGAAAATCGAGAAGATATAAAAACGACAATCGAATTGAATTGAACGAAGAAATTCGCGAAAAATCTCTGGCACATGGCCAATGGCCTTCCACGTACGTACGTACATCCATCTATCTTTCCGATAAGAAGCGTTCCAGTAAGTGATCCTGTTCTACGCACACACACACACACACACACGTCTTCCTTCTTTCGGTTTCATCTCACTGTGTCCGACGACAGTAATTTCATCGAATCCTCGTAAACTTGGAGGTGAGATTCCTGGAGACGGGCCATTGTGAGAATGAAATTGAAAATTCGAACTCTCAAAGATAATCCACAGGATCTCGAGACGGGATTATGTCGAAGAATATAACTCGATGGAATTTAAAAATGTTGAAATGTTGGGGAACGAATGCACTTTTGGACGGAAAGAAAAAAATTGCGAAACATTCCAGCTTTTTTTTTTAATATCCAAATATCCATGGAATTCGTTCTCTTCTCCCGTGCTCCTTGGATGTTCTTCTTCTCGCGTGTGTTAATTGTTCCTCGTTGGATGGAAAGTTTGATTCTCGTCGAATGAAATTCTTCTCCACTGTTCTGTTTTTATACAAGAATATTTTCTCGAATAAACTCTCAAAAGTTGATCAACGAACGGTTTAGATATTTGGGTAGTTTGATAAAAATGTAAAGAGTGGCATTCTTCGGTTGTTTCTCGATTCTCTCTCTCTTTAAAAACTATCACAACAATATTCGATCGATTATATCTGCGAAGAAACACGTTGCACAAAAATTTCCAAAGATATCTACAATCGGTCAAAGAAAGAAAATCTTCTTTGCTATTTTACAAGAGAATTCGTTTGATTTTGACGAAACTGTTATATTATCTTTCAATAAATATTAGTTATCCCGTTAATCGAAGAGGATTAATTAATACTCGATTATTAAAAATCGAATCATCGGTTATCGAAATCGATTTTACGATTTTTCTTCGTCGTGAAGCTTGCTTTTAATATCGCTCGAGCATACTTAAATTCTAATAATATAAAAAGAATACACGCGACCAATAAACCGTAAATTTTCTTTAAAGTATGTATTATATATATTATACGTTGCCTTGTCTCCATTGAATCGATTCTGAACTTGTCCTTCTGTATTCTTTCCCCACTTTATCGATCCCTCATCGAAATTCCAATAATAAAAAAAAAAAAAAAAACCTTCCCCTTAACCTCTATCGAAAATAAAGAAATATCCGATAAACCACACATTCCACAAATATATATCCTCCTTCTTTTAAGTTTACGACAAATATCGTAAAAGTATAAAGTGTGAAATATACACATTAAAAAAAACATCCTTCCATCATCAGTCTAAAAATTTTAAGCCACGTGCTCAAAAATCCTCCCTCATAATTTAGAGAAACAGCGCCAATATCATAACCGATAGGATTGAACGAACGAATTTTGCATTAATTTTGCATTTTTTTTTTTAAAAAGCATCCAACGAATCAACGGAGAATGGTTGAAAATTCGTGATCTCGAAAAGAGTAAGGCGCATCTTTCGATCTCGTCCTTGATCCCGTGCCAGGACACGTGTGTAACATGGAACTCAGCCTCGAAGAGGAGTCGATCGTATCTCCTTTCTCTTTTAATCGTCCAGCCAACCCTCGAACCCGACTCGATTCGTGATTCCAATTTCCAATAATCGGCTCGACCACGATCTCTCCTCGAAACCGAACTCCACCGATTCCTCCGTATTTCTATTAATTTCGAGACGTCGTCTAATACACTCGATCGTGTTCCCCTCCCCGACGCGTCCCGTTGGGGAAAATGTTTTTCTGCCTCGTTGGAATCAGATATTTTGAACGTTGAAACCAGCGAATATTGATTCGAATCATGTATGCTTCCTTCTTCCCCGCCTGAGAATATTCCATGCTTCTTGAAAATTGGAGAAAGGTTTATCAGACACGATTATTAATAACAGGAGTGATGATTTTAATTTATCCTTTTTTCTTTTTTCCTTCTTCTTTCCACGATGAGGTGACAACGCAAGTATTTGGGGAGCGGGCGATTCGACTAAAATTCTTGGATTTTTTTTTCTTCGTCCAGAGGAAGAATATCAAGATTCGTTTAAAACTTTTTTTAGTTTTAATAAAGTTTACTATTTCGTTCGTAATTTGGTTTGGATTGGATTCGAGGATTAGAGAAAGGCGGGGGATAATATATTGCTGAGCGATTTTAAGAAAAATGTTTGGAAAATTGGAGGAAGGATGCCAGAATTGGGGGAAGAATTAAGGAAAAGGTTGGCGAACGAGACAGATTTATGAAGGAACGGAGGCATCTTCTCCCGTGGAAGTCCATGTCGGTCACGTCTCAGTTTTGCTTAATCACGAATTTTAATGGATGTGTCTTAACTATCTTAGTTAGAGACGCGTAAGCAAGAAAGAAAATATATAACTTAAGAAGATAAATCAGCCACGTTGTTACCATTTTCCAAGATATATATCACTCGACGCGGACGATAAATCATAAGCAAAATTCAACGAATCCTTAACTCTCTGCTTTCCAGATGAAAAATCGTTAATTCTTTTGTCACGAAGAATTTTTTTCGTAATATTTCATACAATTTTTTCTTTTCCTTCGCACAATCTAATCTAACCTTTTAATTGTGTAACAATATATTCAACCGAGTCGCAATTCGACTGGAACGTTTTGCCAAAAATTTGCCTCTCCTTTTAAATTGCAAAATTAAATGCGAATATAATAAAATATTTCGAATGAACAAAGGAAAAAGAATTATAATTCAAAATTGGAACAAAAGCTAAACGATGCTATTAAATTAAATTCTATCCGAGAAACGAACTACCCACGTAATAATTTCCCTCCCAACATAGATCCTCTCTAAAAATCTATAAACATCTCATGGTAAATCTCGTGATCGCGCGTTGCGTCACGTTGAAATATCGAGGCGGTTGTGCAACGACGGAGAGACGACTTGCCAGAGGGGCATTGCGGAATTTTCACGCGTTGTGTCGAAAATGTCGAAACGAGGGAGGATCGAAAAGGTAGGAAAGGAGCAAAAAAAAAAAGGTGGAGGAAATAGGTGCGCTGTTTCGAGCCGATGGCAGATTTACAAAAAACCATGCCAGACTTGGGCGATAAATCCAAAGGGGGGAAAAATTGGAGCAATTGATCGAAAAACAATATTCCGAGAGGAGGAAAGAATTGGAGGTGAAGAAGGTTGCGATAATTCGTAACTCGTCGCGTTATGAATCGTTATAACCGATAATTCACTACGATCGTTTCATGGATGCAACTTTTTAAACTTTAAACTAAAAGCTACTCTGGAAATAGAATCTCCATAAAGGAGACGGCAATAGAGCGTTTGCGAAAAAGTTGCCAAGAGTTGGAGCATGAATAAAAATTGTTCAAACTTCTTTATTAAAATAAAAATAATAATAAAAGCGGGGAAGGGGATCCTATAAATATAATACAGACCGATTAACTTTCGCATAGTTATCCTCGCCTCCAATTCTTGAAACTGTGAAACGCACCCAACTTTTTCAGGCTGCGTAAATATCTTCAGCCAAAAACTCGAACTATGTGCAAGTTGAACTAAAACTGAAACAACAACGTTTGAGTTTACGAAACAATATTTGATTTGATTGATAATCTATCTGATTCCACTTGTACGTAATATCGAGAATCAAAGCTAAAGAAAAAGAAAAATTAAAGAAAGAGAGGGTGCTGTACAATTATTTCGTAAACAAAATTTCTCTCCCTTCTTAAAAAATTCTTAATCCCGTTCTTCTTTTCCATTTCTCCTCGACTTCCAATCGGATCGCACGCGTACGATTGATTTCGATCGCACAGAAGCGGGTTAAGGGTGGTTGGTTCCACTCGAGAGGATTAAAAAAGAAGAAAAACCGCTCGAATTGGTCTCTAATTGGAGATCCCGGAGCGTTAAGGAAGGAGGAAGGAGGACACGAGCCATTAACGGTTCACGAAATAATTCCCCCCCACGATATCTCGGACTCGGGTGCAATAACGACACCGAGTGCACTCGGAGGTTTGTGCTTGCATCTGCAGATAGGCGGCTCTTAACGGTGCAAGAAAGAAGTTCGACGGGGGAATTGGAGCTTGTCGTGTAATCGGCCCCTCTCGTTCATCAGGTAACATCGATATCTCGACGATTTCGTTAATTTCGCGAAACGTATCAAGCGTATGAGTAAGTTTTAAAGTTTTCCACCAACTGATCGGGCCAATAGCTGCGTGTCGAGGGGTGTTTTGCTGCTCTGTGAACGAGGTTTGACGTGAATTTTGTGTGTAGATTGAATTTTTTTTTTAGGAAACAAGTAACTACCCCGTTGAAAATATCCATACAATGCTCGCTTTTATAGTTTGTTAAGAAATTCTTATTTTCTTTTTTTTTTTTTGAATTCTTGAACGAAACCTGCCAATATCCCACGTTATCAATAATGAGAAGTAAGAACGAGAAGGGGTAGCTTTTAAAGAAACGAGTTGAGGGAAATATCGATGTTGGGAAACTGAAAAGAACGCGATTAATTTCTCGTATGATGAGGGGGACGAGCAAACGGTTGTTGTTACTTCAGGTAAGAGGGTGGAGACGAGAGTTCGAAAATTGTATCATTAATACGCGTTAAATGATCGCGTTTGTGAAAAGGCGAGATTCGATTAATAATTCGGCGAAAATAACTCGTCGAACTTTCGCCTCCCGCGGGAATTTTCCGAATAATTCAACCCCCCCGTTGCTTTCCGACAACCCTGCGCTATCGATGTTCCAACAACCGTGTGTCGAGACAACACGAAAACATGTTGGAATTTGATTATTTTTATGCGAAATAATGGTACAATAAGTAGAATGAATATTCGAATATGAATCTTTGTTTATATTTCTTTCTCTTTACGTTTTGCAAAATGTATTGTATTGTGCGCAAATAATACGAGAGAACTCCACGAAATTTTTCCCGATATTTCGTAAAAATATATGTAAAATGTAAATATCACGCACGCAATTAAATTTCTAACCTCTTCCTTCTTTTACGGAATACTACGCAATAAATATAACCTCGATACGATAACGCATTTTCAAACCTATCGAAACTTTACTGCTTTCTTCTTCTATATTAAAACGGAATAAGTTTAAAGAACAAATATTTTTACCAACCTGTGTGATCGAACGCGTCGCTCCATCGACCAGGAATTGGAAATGTGTCGCACTACGCAGCGAATAAATCGCACGCACTTGAGAGAAAGATATAAGACGCGTGTTAACACTACGACATTCGAGAGTACAATAACACGGCGCGCCACGATTATCGAGTAATACATCGGGGAAGGGGAAATTCGAGACGCGTATTCGCGGAAAGGACGCGTAATAAGAAACGTTTTCATTCTCGAGCGTAACATCGACGAGAGAGCGAGACAGAATTGTACGAATTGTAAACATCGCGCGTGTCGACGAAGGGAACGTGTTTACGCTTTTATTTCGCGAAATATTATTTAAATTCGTTATTAATATCGAAATTAATTATCGTCCGTTTCTTTGGGTAAAAAAATTAAAAAGACAAAGAGATGAAAATCCGTTTTATCACACTGGAGAGTATAATATACGGCTTCCGGATGCGGAAGACGGAGGAAGTCTTAGAAAGGACGACGTAAGAATCTCTCTCTTTCTCGTGGCGAATACAAATTTCTCTCCTTATCGATATATACATGCGAAACAACGCGTCCCACGAGAATTCAAAGAGAATATCGAAACGCGAATTCGTGGACGGGCCTCGAAAAAAGCTTTACCGTTCCTTTTCCCACGTCGTTTCGCGGGCAACACGAGATTTCTCGATACGTAAACTCGTCCATTGGATTTTTCGAAGACGCCGTTCGAAATCTCTGGAAGATCTTCTTTTTTCTTCGATCCGATTCCAGATACTATTTTCCTACTTGCTGGGTTTTATTATTTTACATCTATCGTTTTATGCTGCACTGCGATTCGAACGAGATCGCAGATTCTTTTTGTTCCTCCTCGTTGATTCGAACGCGTTTGATTTTTCTTTTGCATTTTGGAAATATATTTTTCCCCGACTTCTTCTCCTTTCTTTGGCAAAGAGATTTCTTGCTACGAATTTTCCTTTTTTTTTTTATTCTCGTGCGTTTGTGAAATAATTTAAATATTAAAAAAAGAAATGTATGGAATGTGCAATTAAGAGATCTGTTTTGACAGACGCTTGTTTTACTAATGGCTAGCTAAATCCTCTTCCATTTTGTCAAAATTTCCTAAAAATTTATCAAAGTATCTCGTTATATACACTTTAATTAATTACTCGAATAATTTAAATGATAAATTTTAATTTAAAAAAAAGAACTTTTTCTACAATCCCCAAAGTGATAGTATTTTCACGTTTATTTTTCGTGATATGTTCTCCTTTGTTTAAACAAGGTTAATTAATTAATTACTCGAATAATTTAAACGATAAATTTTAATTTAAAAAAAAGAACTTTTTCTACAGTCCCCAAAATGATAGTGTTTTCACGTTTATTTTTCGTGATATGTTCTCCCTTGTTTAAACAATTAAATTATTTTTGAATCAATCAACCAATGCGTTATATTTACATTTCAGTGAAAAATAATATCTCGACAATGCTCATTGCGATGCACACGAATGATCCATCCACAACCATTTCATTCTCCGTATCCCTCCCCCTTTCATAAAGCGTAGCTTTCGAAGTTTGATATAATTTAAACGGGTTTTCTGGAAATTTAATATCGTCCGATATCGAAGAGGCGGCATAGGAAGATAATTATGAGGAAAATGGGGCGCCACGAGGATCTCCTCGAGTAGATTCACGCGCGAAATGAGATTTCGACCTTTAAAACTGGCCCACGTGGCTTCTGTATCGCGTGTTTTGCACGGCTCCGCTCCACCCACGCTTCTCCACATCGCTTGCACGTGGTGGTAAGAACCTCGTAACGTAATTATCTCCCGTTGGATAATTTTTATAGGAAGAAGGAGAATTTTCCATTTCCTTCTATGATTTTCTATAACTTTTAATTATTCGTTAAATATCTGCATCTCTGCCAATAAAAGAAATACAACGAAAGATAATTTTCTTCTTCGTTGTTATTAATTGTATATGTTAAATATAGAACGTGTCAATCAAGATCAAACGTACAATCAAAGCTGATTTCTTCTCTTATTAATAAAAATTAACGATACATATCAGATATCAAATGCGAATAGAATCAAAGATGATTTCGAGTCACGTCAATGAATAAGCAAAAAAAAAAAAAATGGATAAAAACTCCATCAAAATCTCTTTCCCCTCCATCACGAGGCATTAAAATTTTCCAGCCACGATTTTCCACGGCGGGGTTTTATCGCCACCTAGCTTTTATTATCCCATTCGGTTTCCATCGATGGAAATTCTTTATTCGTAGCTCGACTGCCTCGTAAAATCATCCGCAAGGCGCGCGTGCGATTTCGTAGCGAAATTCGTTCGATACCGATCAAAGTGTCTTGGCGCAGGAAACAGGAAAATGGAAAATGGGCCACGCTGATGAGGCGAGCTTCGAGAGTATTTTCTCTCCCTCTCTCTTTCTCTCGAGGAGGAGGAGGAGGAATCGTTCGAGATGAATAATGACGTTCCTTTTTTTAATTGGAACGCTCGTCGAGCTGGCTTACGTTTTTGGAAGAAAATGCACTTTTCATATTTCGATAATACTTGCGTAAAGGAGTCAAAAGGGTATTCGAATTTTGATTATCACATTAACATCAGAATTATCAATGGATTGAACGATTGAAGTGCGACTATGATCTGAACCAGAAACTATATGTTATAATTTTGATGAAGGCACTTATTAATTTTAGAAGATAATCGAGAAAGAAAGGAAACTAGTAAATGAACAAATGTTAGTTAAAACGAAGATAATCGAGAATTAATGAACAATGTCCGTCACGAAGATACAAATTTCAATTTTCGTGTTCGTGTTCCCGGACAATAACGCAAAATTTTCTGAAAAATATAAAGTTTTCTATACAAAATTCTTGTCTATAATAAAAATTTCGTGCAACGAAAAAAAAAAATACATTTGTTATACGTCCGTTAAATTTGTTGAATTTTAAACATTTTATTCGTTTAGCCAAAAACCGATTTTATAAATGATTTTGTTTTTCGAATGGAAAGGATTGAAAGTATACACACGTTGGCCGAATTTTTTTTTCAATAAAAAAAAAAAAAAAAAGAACACAGAGTTGGATGTCATTGTCGGATGACGAGTAACACGTTAACCAAACTGACCTGGTATCCCTATTACACTTGCATATAACACAGCCTCGTTGAAGTTGATTGATATTGCACACGGTTTATGCAAATTCCCTTAAAACGAGGTTCACATGTTCAAGGTTGAATCGCAAAATGGATCCGATCGAGATAAATTCCGAGGTTGAATTCGTTACGAAATTATGACGTGTTGTCGAGTTATACCGGGATATTTATGCGCCTGTTTCGCGATTGGAAACATAAAAATTATATTCATTTTTCATTTTTTTTTTCGACGTGGATCCTCGAAATTCAATAATACAATTTTTGGATTCAATTGTTTCGAGTACAGATATAAATATCACGTCAAATTGATCAACGACACATGTAGAATGCTTTTCAAAATTGGTCTCTCGATGATAGCACGATCGCAAGATTGTTATATTATTATATTTCCGCCTCAATGTGTTTTTTTTTGAACTTTACTTTTCAAATTACTTTTCCAAAACGATCTGCTCTCGCGCAAAAATGAATGAATTTCGTACGGAAAATAAATTGGTAAAATTATCAATAAACTTGGCTTAATAATGGAAAATAATTTCGGTATATATTCTTTCCTCCCCTACAATTGGGATGGCAACTAAGTCGAGTCGAGTCTTTGGGATTGTCAACAATCCCAAAGATATATAGCACGGATCGATTTTCACGGGGATATTTCGTGTCGAAGCCACCGCTCGAAAATGGTTCTCGATCGATGGAGGGAGAGAGAGAGAGAGAGAGACGACAAAGGCCACGGATAGAGCAGCCCCTCTCCTCGACCGAGTTTATTTAACGTCACTTCCACGAGCTCTCCTCTCCAACAGTTGCGGAGATTCGCCGTCTTCCAAAACATTTAATTTGACGTTTTCAGCTTTGGAAAACAGCTTTCAACCGAGAAGAATTACTGGAAAGGAAGTAACGTTGGCTCTCGTACCGCTTGAAACGCGGTGATCCGCGATGATGAACCGGAGGGGGGAAGAAGGAAATTTCTTATTTCTTGCCTCCACTCTTCCAGATCCATAGTACCTTCGCGTGAATATTTAATCGACTTCTTCGACGAAACAAGAAACACAATTATTCTTTTTTATCGATAATTTCGAATCAATTGAATTCGAAAGCAAAACATTTCGAGAGATCCAAATTCTATAAGTAGAAATGTACATATATATATATATAAATTCGCTTACTGTCATTTTCCAGAACAAACGACCCAATTAATAACAAGCGATTGGCCGAATTACATTTTCAACACACCGTTGAACACCGTTTCCATAAATTTATCAGGAAGCAATGGTTAATCACGAGCAATATAGAAGTCAGCCTGGAAAGGTAATAACTACCCCCCTTTCGAGGATGTGGAGGAGGGGGTGATACGAAGGACAGAATCGAATCGATCCGAGTTATTGTGCTCTGCATTGTGGGTGGAGAACAATCGGCGGACACCGTGAAGACGACCGTGATGGAACTAATTGATGCGCGTAATTGAGGATTCGCCAGGGGGATGGCGAGGAGGAGGGGGGGGAGGAGGGGGGAGGGGGAGGCTGTTGCTTTCGTTCGTTCGACGCGAAGAAGAAGAGGAGGGACGCGTGCGCCATTGTTCGGGATCGTTGAACGCCAAGAACCGAGAATTTAAGCGGGTGGGAAAAGAAAGAACGGTTGGAACGAAAGAACGAGCTGCGGAAAGATGCGAAGCGGGGATGATGAAAATAGGCTGTTGGAAAGTGGATCGAGGTTTGATATCTTGTTTAAATGCGGGTATGAAGTTGAATTAGGGTCGCTGGTAATCTTGTTGAGAGGCTAATTGGTTTAAAAATTATATTTTCTTCCAGTTCGTGTTGTTAAATTGTTTATATCAAATTATTTGGCAAAAAATCTGGAAGTCGGTAAGAATCACGCGTTATCGAGAAAATTTCTGATCCCTTTGTGAACCGAACAGATGAATCCATCAGAGAGAGGAAACAACGATGTATTTATTCGCGTGTCTTAAAAAATTGTAACGTACAATTTACTCGAGAGAGAAATTAAACTCGGGAAGAAACGATCCGACGACTCCTCTTCGATCCACATTTCTTTCTTCACCTTCAACGATTAATCCATCATTATCCGGGAGGAGAGGGAAGCTTGAAGGAAGAATACGAGTTTCTTGAAGTGGATGGGTTTTGCCAATGTTCTCGACCAAGAAACGAAGAAACGAGGAAGCGAGAGGTGTAGAGAGTAGAAATCGGGTGAAAAAGAGCGGCGCGGACTGACTTTGGAGGAAAACGGAAGGGAATGACTTGGGAGTGGGGGAAAAAGAGAAAGGGGAGAAATTACAAAAGAAAACGGGTTCAGAAGGCGGGGAACGAAGTTTTCGAGAAAAAGCTGAAGGCAAAGTGAGTGGAGAGGAAGGAGAGTCGAGATCAAAGAGGAGGGGGGGGGGGGGGGATACAAAGAAGGTTGAAAAGGAAGTCGTAAGAATGAAAGGCAGGAAAAACTGGATGAAAAGCAAGGTGTTGGAGGATTATGTTCTTTTTTTTTTTTTTTTTTTAACTACGCGGAAAACTAATAGGTCACGGCAAAATGGAACTAATTAGCGCCGTATATACCTTTGGTCAAAGAAGAGATGTATACCAGGAAGAAGGAAAGAGGGAGAAAAAAAGAAAAAAGAAATCTAGGTTCATCAGTTTTTCTGAAAATTCCAACTTCATTACCTGGAATATTTCTCTTTCCCTTGGATTATTCATTTCTTTACCAACTTTGTTTCTTGTTTACGGTGAATTTTTAATAGCCGGAACGGAAGATTTTAAGGTTTTCCACTTTGGAGTTGGGATAAAAAGTTGTTAAATACGTAATCGTATCCAGGAAACTTTGATAAAAATTATACTTCGCGTTCGAATGTGCGACAAAAAGAAATGAATCTCTGAAAAAAAATATAAATCGAAATTATACCTCGCGTTCATATTTCGAGTAAAAAATGGAACTGAAAACAATCATTGAAACACCCTTCTTCGACTGAAATGATATTTGAAGATTATATATCTATAGAAATTCCATCGAGTCAAACCAGGAAGAAGAAATAATAACAATAAGAAGAAAAAAAAACAAAGAAAAGAAAAAATGGACATCGCGAGCAAGCCTCGATTTTCTAGCCTTAAGTTTAACACCACGCGATCAAGATCGATCCATCTTTATTGGATCAAACGAAACGAATCGTTCAATCGTGCATCCACCAAGTTTCATTCTTTCCACACACACACACACGGAGCGTCGATACATGTCGCGTAAACGCACACGTTCCTCTCTATTACCACGTGCAACTGTGTCAAGTGCCTTTCACGTTTTTTCCCCTCTAACGTGTCGCGACATAATGCGAGCCTTTCCTCGATTCTTGGCGAGGCTCTTCAAAATTCTTTTTCTTTTTTTTTTTGGCGAATATAAATTCGATCGATAGGTTTTTTCCTTTTTACAAATCGAATTTATTCGCAAGCAAGCGAATAAAATGTTTGCGAAAGATAAAACTCACCGGTGACTGGAGCTTCGATATCGATCATAGTCTTCTCGGAGCGGAGGAGGGCGGCTCCATCGGTGACTATGCGAAGAGCCGCCGCCTCGTCGATCCTACCTTCGAGGATAAAGTGTTGCTTGAGGACTTCCGGCCGCGGCCGGTCTGTCCGCGGGTCGAACACCTCGGCCACTGTAAGTTTGTGCGACGGCGGAAAGAGCACATCTGTGAACAATCAACAACAACGATAAGTGATAATAATTGTTCCAACAACGAATGCTTCCATTGATCGTTTATGAAAAATCTTGAAGATTTGTATTTTTATGCAATTACGTATCATGGAAAGGGAGAGGACAAGTTTTGTTTGATTATATTATAGAAATATTAGAAATAACGTATAAATTTTCCATCAATATTTTCAAGTAATCCTCTATTTGTACGCAACACGTATTTTAGAATATTTTTCTTCTTGAAAAAAAAAAAAAAAAAAAAAATTAGATTATTGAACATCAATTTTCCAGATCCGTGAAAAAAAAAAAAAGGAACACGTCCGTAAATTCCGTATCTCGAGATCGAGGGACGAAGTCACGTTTCACATCATCGAAGATAGCTCCGTTTCAGAAATTATGCATGCTTTATCGTAACGCAATTTCCGGGGAAACAGCTCGAAAGTTTGGAATCAATAAAGAATTTGAAATTAGAAAAAAAAAAAACTTATTATTATCCATGCTGAAACGAAAAATGAATTTACGAAATTTCATAAAAATCATTTAATAATTTTTTGTTCCCTCCCGAAAAGCAGTTATCGATAAATATAACACACATTTTCCCAAAATAACCGCCGCCAATAAAGATTATTTCTCGGCTTTTATTAGAGATCCTCCCCTCTCCCTCTTCCCTCGAAGAGATTACGCGCGTAAATTAACAGCCTAAAATCAACGAGAGATTCGATCTACGTCGTATATCGTATCTTTCTGTGCTCGCGTTGTGCGTTTCTCGCTTGCGATAATTAACTATTGATAAATATTGATCGTAAGCGCCATCGTAAGCGCCAATGTAATCAAGAACGATCACCGCTGTTATCTTTTCCAATTAATGCTACGCATACATTTCGTTCGCGGCCTCTCTTCCTTCGGTGATGATTTATAGTCTCGGTTGCCTTATCGTCGCCCATTATAAATTGCCGGTTTGTCGGTTTCAAAGGGGGAAGACAAACCATCGGTGGCACATTGTAATCCCGCTTTTCCATCGATACCGATCGCTGCGTTTTCAACCGGCGGAGATAAATCGACGCCCGTTACTCGTTCACCCCTTTTTACGAGCATCGCGACGCGACGATCGGCAATTTTACAAAGAGATATTCGAAGAAAGTTTTCGACCAATATTTGAAATATAATTTTTCCTTTTTTTTTTTTTTCTTTCGACGAAGATTACGATAGAGTCGTTTAAAGTTACGAAAAAAAGGGGTTCCAAAGTTGGACTCTCCTTATCTGTCGTATATCGAGACCGTTTAATATAAATGTTCTACGAACCTCTTCCGATACGTCGAGGAATGTACAACAGATATTCGAAAGTTTTCGACAAACTTTCCATTATATGAAGAGATTCTTCCTTCAACTATTAGTACGAGTCAGGGATTATCAATATCGACAATTTCTAACTCTATAATTGTTCGTACGTAAGCATCGAGAAATTCCACGGATCGGACGATGGTAAAAATTTGCGAAAAATTCAACTCCAGTTTGAAAAGAAACAAAATATTCTTCCGTATATTGTATATCCAGTTTGTGGATAATCAACGTGACGAGGTCGTTGAAAACGTGATTCATCCTGAGAGACAATTACCTGGCCTACATCTCTCCGCCACCGTCCTCCTCCCGCCACACCTCGTCTTCGAAATTCTTTCACCGTCCACGATATTTTGCTTCAGCGTATTCTTGTTCTCATCCTCGTTCGGCGATCCTTTCATCGTCCCGTATCTCGTCTGCTTGAACAATATCCTGTTGAGAAAGGAGTGGAAACTGTTCCGTCTTTCGCAAGGTTTCATCGTGCCTACGTCCTCGAAAACGTCATCGTCCTCGCACTCCTTGACGCGCGACGTTTCCTTCGACACGGACGACGAATCCGTGGAAACGTGGGGAAGCTCGGCGGGCGGCTTGTCCTCGGACGACGCTTGATCATCGGCAGGGGGGGTGAAGTAAACGCTGTCGGAGAGGGAGCCGAACTCGCCGATTTCGTTCCTCCTATCCCTCCTGTTCTCCGTATCGGCCAAACAAGAGGCCAGAATCCTTTCGGATCTTTGAAACGTGTCGTAAACATCGTCCAGGTCCAGGGACAGATTGTCGGAGTGGACGCTGTTCGAGTCCATGGTGCACTTGGTCGAGTCGGGCAAACTCTCCTGCTCGTCCTCCGCCTCCATTTCCCTCAAATTCAATTGGAATTTCCTCGTTTTCTCGGAAATATCGCTTCTCCTCCCCACGGAATCTGCCGACGACGTGGATCTCGACGACTTTCTTCTCGAACATTTGGCCAGATCATCCGAGTTGAACGAAGCTTCCTCGACTTCTTCTTCTACCTCCTCCTCCTCCTCCTCCTTTGGAAATTTGGCCGATGTATCGCTCTTAGCCAGATCCTCGGACACGTTGCTCGAGATCTCGTTGACCAGCGACACGGATCTCTCCAATTTCCTGATATAATCCTCGGAGAGAAAGTCGTCGCTGATGAACAGGCTGGCGTTCAAAACGTCCGACTCGGAGAAAGTCCTCCTCTTCCCGGATTCCTCGTTTATCGGCGTCGAGGACGACTCGTTCTCGTACTCGCTCAAGCTACGCCACTTCCGTCTCCCCCTCGACTTGATCTCCTCCTTCTTCGCCAACCTTCTCTCCCCGCCGCCAAAAATCTCGTCCAGATCTTCCTTCTCCCCTTCTCTCCCCCTCGTCTCGTCGACCCTCTCCTCCTCTTCCTCCTCCTTCGATTCCTCCCGCTTGTCGAACTTCAACAAAGACAACCGAGCACGAAAACACGCGCAGCGCATTACCTCATCCTTCTCCGCCATCTTTTCCTCCTCGTTCGTTGCACTTTCCATCCCCTCCTCCTCGTCCCGTTGCTTATCATCGTCCTCTTTGCTCGCACTCCCCTCGAGCAGGATCGGGGAATCGTCGCACGCCACCTCCTCCAACTGGCCCTGGCTCGTGTCGATGGTGCGCATGTAACTGTCGTAGATCCACTGCTTCTGCTCCCGCGTCACCACCTCCCCGAAACTGATGTCGATGGCCTGCCTGAAAATATCCGCCCCGACCAAGTCCCGCTTGTCCAACGCTTTCTCAACCGGGCTCGCGTCGACCCGGCTCCTCAACATCCACTTGTTGCACTTGACGAAAACGGAGAACACCTCGGACACCTCGCGCAAACTGTACTCAAGGGACAAGGCCACGTCCCCCTCGTGCTGAAACTTTTCCAACTCGGACGAGGTGTCGATCTCCGAGCAGGACGAGCCCTTCGTCACGTGGACGGACGCGTCAGAGACCACGCTTCGTGTCCTCGGGCTGAAGGCCGAGCCGGTGGAATCGAATTGGTGGTGGTCGAAGGGAGGGAGCTGGTCGTCGAGGATCGCCTGGTCGGAGGATCTCTCCACCTCCAGATCCCACTCCATCCTCTGGCGACGTTGATGCTCCGTGGCGAGCATCACCGCCAACAGCTTGTTGTCTACCGCGTCCGCGGCGTGCTTGGAGCCGCGGGAACTTCTGCCTGGGCTGGCGAAACGTTTCCCGCCGAGACGCCTCTCTATGGCTTTCTTCAACCTCTTCAATCCAATCGTTGACTCTTGGCCGTCCTCGGTGAACGAGGAGGACGAGGAGTTGTCCACGATCGTTCTGCTGTCCGGGGACGCCTTGGCCGGAGTGGGGAAGGGTGCTCTTGGCAGCTTGCTGTTGAGCGACCTGGGCGTCTCCAGTGCCAGGATCTTGATCCTCTCTATCAGCTCCTCTATGCTCGGGCTTAGGTCCACGTCGCTCGACGGGGTCAGGGAGTTGGGATTGTTCTCTCGATCCGAGCTCGAGCCATGCTCCAGAGAGTCTGGAACGACGCTGGGTTGCTGCGATTCGCACTGACCCTCGGACATGATTCCTCTTCCTCCAGAGATTTCCTTTTACTTCTTTTTTTTCTTCAGCTGTCGTGGAAATCCGCGAAACACGCCTTGGATTTGTTCGATGGAACGATGACGAGAGGGGCGTGTCGAATCAATTCTTGACGCGCACGTTCGAGAACGAAAACACGGTTTTCCTTGTCGAGGTCGTACACAGAGCGATACACAGAGAGTCGTGCACAGAAGAAGCGACGTACAACAGCGACCAACAGCGAAGAGAGAGAATTACTTTTGCGATGAAAGTTAGTTTTGGGAAAAGTAACGGTTGACGATGCGTTAAAATCGATGTTTCCAACCGAACTTGGACGGCAGTTGGGCTCGGTGTGAATCGGTGTTTCGACCGTCCAATCGGAATTCGTTGTTCTGTCGTCGCTGCTTTGCGATTGGACGTTGATACTTGTTTCGTTCTCATTGGTTGGAAAGTATTTTATTTCTATTAAACGATATAACAAGTTGATCGTACGCGTCGCCTATGTTTCTTGGATAATTACGATTGCTCGTTTCTTGGAAAGAATCTCTAATATCGGTCGGAATAAGTTTTCATAGCTGTATGAAAGTATAGCAATTTTTTTTTTCTTTTTAATAAAGAGTGGAGTAAATATAATATTTTATTTTTATTAGAGTATAATTGTTTTTTTTACAAATAAATATAATTATTATCCATTCAAAAGTACAATATCAAACTTGATCGAAAATTCGATCAATCCTGTTCACCAATGAATGAAAAAAAAAAAAAAAAACAAAGAGTTCGTGTAGAAACGTCGTAAATAGTTTATTAAAAAAAAAAAATTAATCAAAATTCATTGTCAAACAAATCATTATTTTTCATAGCGCAACATCTCACACGTTGGCAAAGAATCTTTCTGAGAAAAATCTATTTTATTAACTTATATACTTCTCGTTTGTGCATCGTTAACTTCATTAACGGAATTAGTCGCGAATCGAAGAACAATTTTGTAAATTCCATAACTAAAAATATCCTACCCAATATATTGTTCGTTTTAATCTCGATGTATGTTGCGCAACGTTCGAAGTTTCATCCTTCGTCCCTTCCCTCTCGAACAAAATTAGAAAAGCTTGTACAAACTTTGCACAGATCTTTTAAGAAACAATTCATTTATCTGAAAAGAATGATGAAACTTCAAATTTCACAATTCTAGATACGATATTTTTACGATTTTATTTTACTAGGAAAGACATTATAAATATTCTTCTTTCTAATTAAACTGTCCTGTCTATCGTTTTTCGATTTTTCAATTTTATCATCGAAGTAAATCTGAAGTTCGTACATCTTTCCAAGTAAAATTAAAAAGATTTTCCAAAGATTCGAAAAACATTCCAATCTGTAAAAAAAGAAAAAGAAAAAGTTAAAACTTCAGATCGACGAATTTCATTCGAATTCTAAATACGACAGTTTAACTTAAGAAAGAACGCCAAGAATCTGATAAATCACGCGAATCAGATGCGTGACGCGTATAAATACTGTCCTTCCCCTCTTTGATTAAAATATCTACCATTTTTCCAAGTGCATCGAAATAATTTGAAGTTTCATTTCATCCTTTGTATTTCTTAAGTAAAATTAAAATCTTCTAAGGAACGAGAATCTGAATTGGAGAAGAAAGGGGAAAGAAAATGATAAAACTTTAGATCTCTCAGAACGAAGGTCGAAAATGGCAGGTGAGAACATTTTAACTTTAAGAAAGAGACGGAATATAATTTCTGACTAGTGCTCGAGCAACGATACACTCACTTTACACCTCTCGACCGATTACTTTTTCCCGTGCTACCAAAGAGAAAAGGATCTCGTGCTTATCACGATTTTACAGTGTTTACATCTCGTTAAATCTCGTTTCTCGAGCAGGATAACGGGGGAGAAAAAGAAGAAAAAAAAAAAAAAGAAGAAAAATGGAATTAGAATACAATTTTGCTCGCGTCCCGTGTCTATTAAATTCTTGAGCAGTTTGTTTCCTCTTCGATGGTCCTCTCCTCTTTCAAGCGCAAAAATTACGTAGTATTTTCGAAATCCTCTTCTAACTTTCCTCCTAGTTCGACACCAAGTTGCCGTTGATATCGTTTTTCGTAGATTCTGTGAAGCGAAGATATATTTTTTTCTTTTTAGATAAATGACAAATCGATTGTCAAATTTTTTTCGAAAAATATTGGATATCTTAATTACGATACAGAAACTTGACCACAAAATTTATATTCTTCTTTCCAATCACGAACAGCATCACGTTATACAGCAAACTGGACAGATTAATCGATCGATACAAAACTCCAAAATAAAATCATATTTATCAAAGTTACTTCACTCAGCAACGATACAAGAATCTAACCTCAAAATCCACATCTTCTCTCACAACGCTAACCTCTTCCATGCGAAACAAATTAAATACATCGATCACCATTAAAATCAAACTACGACACAACCACATTAAAATCATATCCAATCAAAGTCAATCATTCTACTTCTACAGAGTAACAATATATCGAGACGCAATAATAAAACCTAACCTAACGATCGAACATGGACAACTAACCACAAAACAATAAGAACAAATAAAATGAAGAATAACCCATCGAAGTCAGTTGGTCAGGAAACTGTTCCCGTTTCCACGATTCCAGCTTCCTCATCAATCTGCCCATCACGGTGATCTTACACCTGGACCTCGTCCCTTTCCCCTCCTGGCACTCATTCTTATCGAAGAACGCTTTTATGGTGGAGAATCGTCCGATGCTCGACTCCTGCGACACTCCACTCCTGTTCCTCGTTTCCTGGTTGCTCTTCAAAAAACTGTTCCTCGTCGAGACGCGGTCCACCTTGTGCAAGCTCTGGCGGACAGCCGTGTACAGGTTATCGTTTCGATCGACGACCATAGGATCCAACGTTCTCCACGATTTTCGACACTTGTCCCTCGCCTCCCCTCGTTCCTTCTCCTCCATCTCGGCACTTTTCCTCGTCGATTTTTGCTCGCACGACATTCGCACGATTTCGTGTACGTGTTTCGATACGGATTTCGATGGCGATGGAGGATCGGTGGAATGATTTATGTTTATCGTTTGATGCACTGCCACGTACACGAGTCGAGTGCGAGAAGAAGCGTGGCGATCGATCAATCCGTGGTGTTGCGTCTCGCGTTCGTTCATCGTACGCTGTTGTTAATTGGTGTAGATGGACGTAGTTGAATTGTAATTGGACGATTCGGTGATAATTGATTGGTTCTCCTGGTCGTGGTTCATTTATTTGTAATTGAATTGTATATCTGTTTCTATTTTATTTCGTGATTATTTGTTGTATCTACATTGTTAAAAATCGATGATACAATCTTTTGTAAAGAATCGGGGGAGGGGGGAATTATTTTTAAAATGTTTATAGAACAGAAATTGCAATGATTTTTTACAATCGCTTATTTTTATATTCGTGCTTTTGAACCAAATTTTCGAAAAAAAAAAAAAAGAAGAAAAAGAGGATTATTCGTATATTTTGAAAAAAAGAATTTATGCAGAGAATATCTTTTCCATCCGAAGAAAATTCGGTCAAACATGGAAATCATCCTTTAAAACTGACCAACTTTTTATTTTTATTTTTCTCTCTAGTCTTCGTAATCTCGATGAAGAAAGAAGAAACTTCTCAGATTGGAATGGTATAGTACAGCGTACTCTCGAGAGATTTGGCCATCCGTTTTGGCCAAAAAATTTGATGAGATGCAAAGATATATATAAATCCAGCCAAATGTTCCTGCATTTAACCTATAACTATCGTAGAATATCCGTGAGACTTAATTTTTTTGCATTATCATCTTCTCGTATCACATCCCATTCTACTTTTCATATTTATTCTTATTGGTTTTATTTTTATTCACAATTTATATAATACTATTCTTTATAAATATTTTACACACTTTTATCCGCAATGGAAATAAAGTCTTCAACTTTATCTTCTTTTTATCAAGAATATTATATCAGGAAATTATCAACTATTATTACATTAATTACGGAATCTTATAATTAAAAAAAAAAAAACGTATAAATAGAATAATTACAAAGAATTCTTTTCGATATTTTATCTGCGATTGTTTAATCGACCTTCTCTTATTAATTAATATACAAAGCAAGAACATCTATCTTTGAGATATCTTTTACACAATCGCATAAGTTTCAATTTTACTTTACAATGCTTAAGGATTAATCGGAATCTGCATTTCGAAACGCATTTCGAGACGATATTCCCTCTTATTGTTTTCGAAAACGATCGCATCTCAGGAATCGAAACTTTTTCGAGAATTGTTTCATCTCTTTGAAAAGGTATTTCCGGCACGGAACAACCGGTTTCTTGCGCGATTCAAACATATTTCCAGACAAAAGTTATTTCATAGACGTAATTTCTTCCACTGGGATTCGACTGGGGAGGAATTTTCAAGTTGTGCGGAGAGTTTGGGCGTGTTTCGAGGCGATATTGAATTTAAATTTCTCGATCGATCGATTCGTTTCTTTCGCAGCGACAACTCGAACAAAACGGGTTTCTTATCGAGGGTGATAAGAAAGTTTGCAGAGATGAGCTTGGACATGGAAAACGTCATCAATCGTTGATGTTTTTTTCTTAAATGAGCTTGAAAATAAGCGATGAATCTTCAGTTTTTAGATTCAGCCAACTTTCCACAACTTTGATTAAACTTTGAAATAAGATTTGAGAAGTTTCGACGTTGTTTTATTTTGATATTAGGCGATTCTCTGTAAAAAAAAAAAGAAGAAGAAGAAAAGAAAAAAAAAATACAGGAAAAGACTCGATCGAAAAGAAACATTAAGATTTATACGTTAAAATGTATTTTCGTAGATAAATTATGCGCACATTTCAAGCTTATTTTGTATTAATTATATAGTATATAAAAAATGGATTACAATAATTTACAGCAATTGTTTATACAATGTTTATACAATGTTATACGAGTAAAAATAGATATTATTGTTACTAGAAATTTGTTATTGTTATATAAACAAAAATGGAATTGCAAAAATTAGTAAAATTGACTCGATGTTCAATTTTTAATTCGCGTATTCTTTTCGCAGTTTGGATTACGTTGTTTCTACGAGAAAATTATATAATTCTCATATAAGATTCTACGATTAATATAACTTATAATTTACATAATTATAATTTATATTATAATTTATCAATATCAATATAATATATAATTTTCTCGTGAAAGAACAAAATTTTCGCGATTTCTTTAATTTTTTTTTTTTTTCTTTTATTATTTTATATCAGTTTGGCGGACCGCAGCTCTTGAAACATGCCTGTGCTCCAAAATCTTCGATCCTCTGATTTATTCTGGCGAAGAATAATTTTATTTATTTATTTATTACTTCTCATCTTACGATTATATAAAATTCTCATCATTGGTACACTCTAACATCCTGTATCTACACTTTCCATAAATTTTAAAATAAGTGAAACAAAATAAAATGGAAATTACTTTGATTGTTTTTCTTTAATTTCAAAACAATCATTCATGGAACGGAATTCGAAAGATACGATATAAGTAATTCACTCGAATAACGATCTAATTTCATGCCTGATATTCAATAATACATCATTTTTCCAAAAGTGTAAACTTTCGTTTGAACGAAACGAATTCCAAAACGTGTCGCGTCAACGTTGTTGCTCGAGGCTTTCGTTCCGTTCGATCGATACGAATGTACACAATAAAAGTCACAGAAAAACTTGTTTTCGAATATAACAGGCAAAATAGAATTCCTGTTAAAATGATTATACCGAGTCGTTGAAAAACCACGGAAACGTAACATTTGTCGCGATTGCTTTGAAATCGATCCGACCGTTCAATTATTATTTTCGCTAAAACATCGAATTCTCGCGCAAATCTAATGGAATATAAAATACACCTGGTCCTCTCCCCTCGTGCGCGTGCAACGTTAAAAAAGAAGTACAGAAAAAAAAGAAGGAACAGATTCGTATAAACGAAATTATTTCTACGCATAATTTTACGAGATTTTCTTGTCTTCTCTATAACTGCAACGTATTATGCAAAATTATTTAAATATGCAAAAAGTCCGTAGCAAATATTATTTATTCCACTCGTTTATTCCACGTTCGTGGAAATTTAATTTTGCGCGCAGATTATTCCCATATTATCGAGCCGATCGCGTCTCAACAAATTCTTTTCGCGAAAGGAAGAAACAACGATTTTTGCAAAGTAAATATCGAAAAAGTTGGTTACAAAATTCCCATAAACCTCGGTTTTCACTTCGTTTCACATGGACGCCGAGATCCAAACAAGCGTGCATAACTATAAACAGAGCGAGCCCCGAAAACCGAGATGGCAAAACTCGCGTAATCCAGCAGACAGAATCCAGGGAAACGCGATACCGAGTCGGCCATCTGGTCCGCTCCATCAATCCTTTCCATCTTGCGACCATGCGAAGTCATTACACCGTTTATTAATCCATCTTCGTCCAATCTCGTCTCGTCCACGCAAAATCGCTTAATTATCGATCCGATCGTTCCCTCGAAAATCCACAAAAACTCAACGAAACGCTCGAGAGAATCCTCGATCGAATTTGAATTTGAAATATTTATTAAATTGTGTCGATTGAAACGAGGGTCTAGAGAGGGGGGTCTATCTAGGAAAACGGAAGAAAGAGGCGGAGACGTTGGAGGCGCGAGAGAGGGAGAGAGAAGAAGGGGGGCGAAACGGAAACGGGATCTTCGTGACGAAGTTTCTCGCGTCGGGTGCCAAAAGGCGCGTATAAATAGGCCCGGCTGACAAAAACAAGTCGCCGCGTCATGTTGCGCGGGCATAAAAGTTTTTAATCGGCTGAACACCGCGCTTTACGACCTTTCTCGAGCCCAGCCCGCGATCAAATTTTCGACCCGATCGAAAATTTCCACGAATTAATTCGAGGATTCGAACGGGATTTCGAAGTGGCGCGATTTAACCGGATCGAAAACGAATTATTCGATTCTATTTTCTTTTTCTTTTTTTTCTTTTTTTTTCGCGTGTTCGAAGGAGAGAAAGGAAATAAGAAATTAATTAAATTTTGAAAGAAAGGAAGACAACAATTTCTACGATGTTAGAGTGTACAATGACGCGTGATGCTTCGCGATATATAACAATTTTGATAAAGTTTCTTACCTACGATATAATATTCAAAGAGTCGTGTGGCATATATATATATAACGCGATTAACGATAATTTCTCCTTCGACCATAATTCTTGACAATTTTTATTACACGTGTTCCATTTAATAAAACTTCGATCTTCGAAAGCGAGTGGACGGTTGGACGGCTGTGTTAAACGGCGGCCTCGTTGCATTTTGCTCCTTCTCCTCTACAATATCCTTTATCTGAAAGAACCTCTGATCCCTTAGGAAAAGAACACGACGAATTTTCAAAACTTTCGAAACGACACGTTAAAACAATTCCACCGAATAGGATAACAACATTTGAAAAACTTGCTTTCCGTTCTTTTCTTTCTTCAAAGATCTAATTTATTAATTTACCTTGTTGATTATCCGTGAGGCTATCTGTTTAAATAACGGATCACTTATCACGGCCTTGATCACGGTGAAGATATTCGTGCCTTCGTCCGGTGGCATGGCGTTCGACAGAGCGTGTCTACCGCTATTATCACGACGACACGTGTTCACCTTATGCTGGATCCGGTGCGCTCTGAGCGGAAGTCGATGCCAGCCACGCTCGCCTCGTTTCCAACATGGCGTTCGAAAACGCGCGATATTTCAATCGTCGATTCGATTCCTCCCCCTCCCGCTTTTACTGCCAATCGAAGGATTCGATTCAAGATCGAACCAATCGGTGTTCACTTTCTTCGAAAGCGATTGGAGGATTTCGTTTAAACTTTCAGCTCAGAGCGACGAATATACGACGACTCGATTGGGGATGTAAACGGAAGATTCCATGTGTTTATAATTATTTTTTTTTTTTTTATCTAATTTATATATCATCAGCAGGACGAACGTTTTCTTTTTTTCCTTACACCGAAAATTTGAATTACTTTTTTCTTAAACATTCGAAATTATTCGAGATATATATCTATTTTGTAAAAATATCATTAAAATTGATAATACAATCGTGTGTGAGATGTAGAACGTTCAAATATTGTGTAACATATTTTGAATAATTTGATAATCCTTCCATGTAACAGGGTACATTTATGTTTATAATTCGAATTAAAATTAAATCTCTCGGAAATAATGCGCATTTAAATTGCATGTATCAATTATCTCGCGATATAACACGATATTGCACAATAAGATCTTGATGAGATCACGAGAAGTGGGTTGAAAAAATTTTACCCAACAAAAGAGTGGACGCGTTATTAAATTCCATAATCAAGCAGTAACAACAGTTATAACGTTATTTTAATAAAGTGTGTAAAGAGTGAATTAATATATTCACAATTAAATGATTTATTTGTCACATCGCGAAATAAATTATTTATTTATCCGCTATTGTTATTTGTCGTTCGATTCTCGATGAAAATAATTGCTTTCTCAATATGCAATAATATTTATTATTTATCATTATTGTTTCTCACTAACATACTATTACACATTTACTTACGATTACCTCACCTCGATCGATCATTCGACGATTTATTTTTACCAAATTTTTGCTTCAATATCGTTTCTTTCATCAATTAAATAAAAACGTGTATTTATATGATTTTTTCCCCTTTCCTTTCTTTCGAAGATTTCTACCGTTCCATCGTCGAATAGAGAAATTTCAGATGAAAAGAAGGTTAATCATCGATCGTGTATCGCGGCGCAAGCTTTGTCACCCGTTGTGCCGCGTTCGCAACAAGCGAAACGGAAACGAGAAATCTACCAATTACGGCGGACAACCTTTCGCAGATTGAAATCAACGAATCGCGATGCTCGTCGCCCTCCCGTCCCTATATTTCGTCGATACTTGATTAGAACTCGTAGTATCGTTGAATCGACGTTACGCTTTGCTTCTAACGGCTCCCAAGGCCTTTTCCAACACGCCTTCTTTTTTGCCCCTGCTTCCAAACATTTCGAAATAATATTTACATATGTATAATTCTTAGAATTTTCTCCTCGATCTATTGCCTGCTCTCGTTCGAGAAAAAATTTACGAATTCCATGTTCCACGAATTTGTATCGCGCAGTTAATTCGACTAATTTCCCCCTCCCCTCGCGAATTATTAATCTCGAAAAAAATTAAGGAGAGTTTAAAGGGGAAAAAAAGAGAAAATTCGTCGAGTATGAAAAGACACGAGCAACTTCTCAAAGATAATTTCACGCATCAAAGCGCGAATGAAGAAACCGATGCACGAAGGAACAAGATCCTTCGTGAAAAGAGGAGCAGGCTCGTTGGAGCAAAAACTTCTTTCCGACGATGCGAGAGTTATACACGCGAGAAGCAAACACCGTGATCGGGAACAGTGTACACGCTTCATTCGCGCGGCCTCGTCAGCGGCGGAGAAGAGAAAGGGGACAAAAAAAAGAAAAAGAAGAAAAGCAAAAGAGAAAGAAAAAAAAAAATTGTCACTCGAGTCGATTGCGTTTATCATTCGCGAGTCCCACGATAATGAGAAGGTCCCACACGTGCATTCATACTTCGAAAGATACACTTGATACAAGGTGTCCGTTTTATCCAAATAAAATGAGATATTAAGCTTCATTCGAGAGGAAAAGATACGTTTTTAATTATTTAATTAGAATCATTAAGATGATGGAATAATTGACTACGATTTTATTATCGGATTTCCTCTTTTTGCGATCGATCGTATCAATTTAATATTATATTTTTAATCACTTTATCGATGCAGCTTTTATATCCTATACAAAAAAAAAGTATTAGCCTATTTATGTCGAAGAATAATCGATAATTTAGGAGATACTCGTAAGTTTTAAGTAAAATTTACATCGTATAAAAGATTGGGAGGAGTTTTCATGATGCTTTCGCTCATTTTCACGCAATCTACAAAGCTTCAAGCGGCAATAAAAAGCGGCTCTCCTGAACTTTTTTTTGAAACGACAACAAGTTTCTAATTTAAAAAAAAAAAAAAAGAAAATTACATTCGTGATTAAGAAACGATTAAAGCCTCGCACGGAAAAATCATTGGCACGATGATGCATCTCATCAACAGAGAATATTTTCCTTCCCCAGATATTTTAGAACGAAGGAAGACACCCTGTAGCAGCACGCGTGCACGATGTATCGAGGCCGAAGAAACGAATTTCAATCGCGATACTACCACTCTCCCCGTTGACATTTTCTCGAAGAGTTGTCGGGGCGTGCGTGCTCGATCGTGTCGCACGATAAATAACAAAGAGCGCCAAAACCAGTCCCGCGACCTACTTGTCGATCTTAAGCCGGATGAAATTGCAGCCAATATTAATAATTAAGCAACCTGTCGGCTGGACGACCGAACCGTTCCAATGTTTCTCCTCGAATAACGTCCCCTTGTCGATTCAGACTTTCACCGTGTTGTATATATATAAACACACTCGTGTATATGATCCGTTTTAATTAAACGTAGATCGATATTGCGTATCTCTTGAGAAAACATTTCCAAACGTATATTTTTAATTATTGAGATAAAAATATTAAAGATTCGTTGTCCATTATTTTTATCCCCCTTTGAAAAATTTCCTACCTTCTCGACATTGTTACTCAAACTTAAGTAAAGTTTTGGGCCAATTTTCGAGTCAAATTTTCCGATTAACATTCCACTTTCACAAATTTATGCGCGAGGAAACAAAGATAAAAATATCGACCACCTATCGCCTCTCACGATAATCTCCTTTCGAAGACGAGGGCGATAATCGAAACGGTGCATCCTCCTTCCTTAACCACCCCCTCCCACGAAGGAGGTGAAACTGAGAAACGTGAGGATGAGGACAAAAGAGGACGGAACGATTTATACATTTATCGAGCGGACAGCGATACCCGGGTCGAAAAGGAATACGTAAATAAAAGACGACGAGGAGGAGGAGGAGGAGGAGGATATGTAGGTCAGGGGATGAAAAGTAACGAGTCAGACTGGATGGACATGAATGAATGAACTCGGAGGGGGAGGCGGCACAGTCGCGAGGGAGAAACGTAAGAAAAACGGTGGACAAAAGGGGGGAAGACAACGGTGGAAACGGAAGGGATGGAAGGGAAAGGGAGAGAGGGAGGGAGGGAAGGGGAGGGGGGCGCGTGGAAAATAGGTCAGAAAGGAAAATAAAAAAAAAAAAAGAAAAAAAGAAAAAAAAGCAGCGCGCGTTAAGAGCCCGAGTTGTTCGCTGAAACATCATAGCGCGATATGGAGCGAGGAAGGGAAACGCGGGTTTCTTACCCTTAGAACCGGTTTCCGCGGGGGTGGAAAAATATGGCCGCGATTAAAACGCGCTCGTGTTTCAAGCTTGTTAACGGGGATACGGTAATTTCAAGGCGAAATTTTTACGATAGTTTTCTGAGAAGAATGCTGTGTGTGTATGTGTGTGTGTGTGTATATAATTGTTTTTTCCTTTCACATTTTTCGAATGAACATTTTATTACACAGTCGAATTCTTCTCGGTGAGAAGAAAAAATATATTTTTGAGGAGGGAGAGGAAAAAAGATGAATTATCTGATCTTAATTGAGATTATGATTCGATCAATTGAGAAGGATCAAGAATTTTGCGAAAGTTTTTCTCGAATAAATTTTTATTCGATGGAAATCTTTCCTCCGACTGATAAATTCGTAAAATTCAATCGTGGAGAAAGTAATTACAAACGAGCAAATTTCTCCCCCGTATTTTTGGATTAATTATTAATAACATTTTGCTATTTGCGTTTTGCTTTGATGTTAAACAGCAACGGGATAAATATTTGAATAAGAGAATTAATGAAACTTCCCGAAGTATTTATTTTTCGGAAGGAGGGAGGGAGAATTATCGGGGAGAATCATAATTAATTACGTTGAGAGAAAGTTACAATCTATGCAATGTATATATTTAAAATAATATCGCGTGTAGGTAGGGATCATAGTGTCTTTTCGTGCTAACTTTGGCGCTAAGGCTAGGGCTACGCTAGCGCGACTAGAAATACATACAATCCACCCGGTGCTCAAGCATACAATAATAAACAGAGTTGCAAAACAAGCACATACGATTCCAAAAATTCACTTCGGTAATCAAAAGAAAACGCGCATCACGTGCTCGGGAAATAAAAATATCTATACAATGCCACAATTCGAGCTAACCCATCGAAAATCAAAGAATGCCAAAAAATACTTCGTCCAACTTATTCGCCAATTCAACAATCGCAAACAACTTTCGCACACAGAACGCGCATACGCAAAGCTCGAATTATTTCC